CATTTCAAAATTGGCTTGACGAAAGGTTTCGTCAATCGTCAATGACGAAAGTTTCGTCATTCGTCAAGCATCTTTAGAAGTAAATACAATTTTTAGGTTCTAATATTCTAGACAGTTTCTGTTTTTATTTCAGAGATTTGGAAGTTTTATCAAGCCCGAATTTAAATAGTACTCTAAAGTATCCATACTCTGAATTTGGAAACTTTTAAAAAACTACAATACTTAAAGTAGCTATAGGGTACAAAAATGAATTTACCTATACTCAAAGGTGGTACTGGCTCTCTATATGGAATTAAATCATATTTATAAATTACAGAATTAACCAGTAAAAGAAAAGCGTCAATATAGTTACAAGTTTTCAAAATGGCGCTTAGAAATTATGATGCTTGAGGAAAAAATAAAAAACTCTAAGTACACTTTTAAATTCATATCACTCTTTACAAAAATTTAAACTGTCATTTCCCATGTTAAAGAACATTTAATTAACCTATCTTACATAAAAAAAATTAAAGTTCATTTCTATTCCTTTTGGTTCGTTTTTCATTTTCCTCTCTTACCATTTTTGCAGCACAATAAGCATAATGCTTGTTGCTAATCTCATATACATAATTTTCATACTTTTTACAAGCATCCGTATCTAATATATAATCAAAATCTTTATGGGCTCGTGCTCTTTCATGAGCCCAATAAGGAAAATACCCTCTAAAGTAACAAGAATAACTGACTAGTGGCTCATTCAGACCTCCCCAAATGGTTATAATATGATTAGAACCAAAATACCATGTAATGGTTAATTTTAAATTATCTTTTGGTAAATTTTTTAAAATATCCACTGTGTGAATAATACCTCCCACCAGAAAAATATCTTTTTTATTGGTTAAACCTTCATCAAAGTCAAAAATATTAGAAAAATGTCTTTCTATGATTTGTATCATAGTAGGCTCTTGATAGTCATCTGGGACAATTTTAGCATAAAACCTAAAATTATCTTTAAGATTACGGCACATTATTTCACAAGGTTCTAATTTTTCATAATGTAAAATCCTAGCTTGATCTAAAGTGACATAAATTGTATAGGTGTTCTATTAATAATAACCACTGATGAAAGGCAAGTAGGAATGAAAATCAATAACGTGATAAAATTGAATATTTTCATAATAAATGTTTCTTTAAACTTTCAGATAATATTTTATTTGAGAAAAAGTTATATTTGATTGCTTGATTGCTAAAAATGATATTAAATCGGAAATCTCAATCTGTAAATAACCTAATGCATGACGATAGTCATGCTCAGGTTATTATTGCGAGGATCTTCACATGTAAGTTCAAGGGCGTAAATCTGGTTGCTAATTAAGGTTAGAAGGAAGATAAGAAGGTTAAGTTGCGATATAAAGTCAAGGGGAAAAAAGATTGAGATCGATAGTGCCTTTTTTCTTCGCTGCCTGACTTTAGCCTGGCTCTTTCGTAGTGTTCCCACCCAGTCCCTTCCCAAGAGGAAAAGGAAAGAAATGAATAAATAAAAGAAGACTTAAATTATGATAGCTCATAGGAAATTATTTATTTATTGAAGAAATTATTAGCTGGAGTATGTATTAGTATATTGAAGGGGTTATTTAAGAGTGGAAATTTGTGAGAAAGTATGCCCGATTCTCTTATTTTTTCGCCACGTGATTTCGGCAAATAGTTTGTGAAAATAAGAAATTTTGTAAAGCACTGTAAATAATGGGGCATGTGATGAGCCGCAGCCCGGCACAACTCCCATTGTGTTATTTCGTCTGATTAATAAATTGATGCTTAAAATTGATCCGAGCGAGAATAATAATGTTATTGATGATCTGAATTAAAATAAAATTTGACTTAAAAAGGGAAAAGAGCTAAGCCTTGAAAATAGGATTCGGTAAACTATTTTGGTGGATCTTGCTCTAGATCTAGATCTGTATGTGCAAATTTTCCGCACATCATAGTTTTTTTATTCCGCGTATTTAATAAATAAGATTTATAATTGTTGGGGGTTAGAAATGCTATTCTTAATAATTTTGATGAATAAATCACACATAATTCTTATTTGAT